CCCACTCGCTACAACCATTTAACTATAATAGCTATATGGTACATGTGGCGCTTTTAAATTTTAATGTCTATATGTACTGGAATAATGATGCGTATACAAACAATAATTGATAACGCCTCACACAATACGATATTTTATTATTTGTTATAGCCGATTAGCCATGCACTGTGTCATTGTGGCGCTTAAAATTTCGCATCTATGATGCTATTTTTAGGGGTGCGTTTTGTCTTTCCAATAATAAAAGGTGGGATAGCGATTATTTAAATTGAGAATCAAAAACTAGGCGAAACAAAAAACTGTTTTACTAAACCACATAATATCATGTAATCGTTGTAACATCATAAATTACAGTCTAATAGCAATTTTAGCACTTRAGGTCATAATAGTTGTTCACAATTGTATACAACGTCTACCATCTAACTGCACAGTACCTAATTATATGACGATATCAATATTACAACGACTTTAAAACTAAACTGCATTTTAAATATTATTATAATCATAAAGTTTATTTAACATTTTAGGCGCGCAGATTAAATATGTAATATTGTGTACCTATTTTAAACGCAGTCAATGATTAATATTTGGCATATAGGTACGACCGTCGAGGTGTGCGTGCATTTTATTCAGTGATTGCAGGATAGGCAATAATATGATGTATCTCGTTCTCGTATGACGATGATGATAATAATAATAATAATAATATATAATTTCGATTCGATCGGTGTGACGGTGTATTATAAGTGGCGTATGTAAACGTAGAAATGCGCATTCCTTGCGTGGACGACACGCACAGACATACATATTGTACGTATATAATATTATAATAGATGTCATACATACTACATAGGTATACACTACCCTCCAGAACTCACCGCCGTAGTTGTTGTTATTATTATTATTATTATTATTATTATATATATTTACGATGGGGTAATAGACTTTGAAAATTTTGATTTTCCGTGTCACGCGCACACATACGGCGACTATATATTTCGTATACACTATATATTATTTACRTGGCGTCTATATACATTTCATATTGAAGTATAAGACGACTTTTAACGTATATTATTAAAATACATCGCGGACGATATGTTGCGTGTATATACATATATATTATATATTATACCTTCAACTCGCTCTCACATAATATAATATAGTGTTTAGAATATTGCATCACCGCCGCAGCTGTATTGATCAGATGGTGCCTGTCACCAACGAATACGCTCCAGTCCGCAGCATATTATTATTATTATTATTATATTGCATTGCGTTTCATCTATGATATTATATGCAAAAGTATATTATATTGTATTATGTCGATATGGCATATTATTATATTTTGCAAATTATATAATATTATATACCTATTGTGCGTCGCGACGRTATTATTATGACGTTCAGATCCATCAGAACTACTCCGATACCTACAGTACGTCTCGATATTTGACGTCACTTATTTATAATAATAATATAATATGTATTATATTGTGTTATTGTCGTATGTGACCTGACAGCCGAAAATCGAAATCAGACTTCCCCCGTGTCGTACAAGGTACAACTGTCAAAAAACGACAACACTGAACGGCAATATGGAATAAGTTGGATTTTATATCCGTGAGCGATGCTGCAACATTCCCCGTAATAAATTCTAATATCATCGGATTTGTGGYAAAACCTCTCAAGTCATTTTTATTAAATTTTACAACAGCCTCGAAAAACCGAGATAGACTAAATTTTTTTACGTTTKTTGATCGAGATATACGAGGTTTTATATTTTATATTTTTTCATACAAAATTACCGTCGAATCATATCAGCAATAATTGTATTTTGATCAGTATACCAATTGCGCCGCTTATATTTTAGATCGGCAAACCAACTGCGCTGCTTATAATATTCTAGGTCAGTATACCAATTGTGCTGATTA